TCCGGAAGTTCAGGTAACCTGCGTTAAGATAATCGGGTTTTCCCGCAGTAGGTTAAATTATAATACGGATTAGGAAAATCTAGAGATATAAACCAGCAACATTTCTAAATACGATAAAATAAAAATATATATAGCAGTTGGTAAAGTATATTCCACTGCCTATCCTAAGTCTCCACCCATAAAACTCCTATGACCACCATTTCCTTAGGACAAAATGCTGGGACTAGGGGTACATGTGATGCATTAATTAAACTACTGTTGCTTGCGGTTTCACTGTAAAATTTGCTGATATACATGTGAGACTCTTACTAGAAGAATCATTATCGCTTATGCAACAGATATTCTGACAATTACTCGGGCTAAAGCACGGTTAGAAGTGCCACTTAACCAGAAGTGACTATTTTACCTATTAGACTTAAATTTCTAAAACAAGAAGGCTGTTGATTCAAGCTTTTGGAAAGTGGCCAAGCAATTGGCAACGGCCACAAATTAGCCCGCACTCTACTTATACCCAGTAGAAATAAAGATATGGCGCAAAATAACTGCTGCAATAAACCATCACTGGAGATAGATAGAATTGGTTGAAGCTCGTACTTTTAGTTCTAGCCTCCCACGCAAGGAAGTCAAACGGTTGAAGAGACCTAATTTGCCCTTTTTTGTATGTTGATAGGCCCGAAGACGCATCATTTTGACGCTTATGGCATTAAAAATATGCCTGAGGCGGCATCACCCCTATGGGAATTTTATCCCTTGCAAATGCGAAAATAGGAATTGAGCTGTCTGACATAGTAAGAAAATTCTGCTGCCAAACATTGGGAGACCTAAGTAAATAATCCTAGAATAAATCACCATTATGTTTAGAGTGGTTATCTGCTCCGACAATGTGAGATCTATTAATTATTCAGTACAATTTATGGGAACTACGTTTTCATTTTTACAGTATAATGCACTTCATATAGTACTATCTCTTTCAGAGGAAGTATTACACCATCCAAACGCTGAGATTTCCGCAGTACACGCCTATTAACATTACATTCCACAGTTTTAGTAATATAACAATAATTTATATACATAAATTTACACCAAAATTAACAACAAAAACACACAATGTATACTTTCAAAACCGTCACCCTGTTTTCTAGTCACTAAGCTGACAATCATAGTTGAAGGAATTTGTAGATAATTGGCAAATTTTCGCCCACTTAAAGAACGTCTCTTAGTACATATTTTGTGAAAAATTGTTAGAACTATAAACGTGGAAACGCAGTAACTTTATGATGCCTCTTTAAATATAGGATAACCTTTGCTGACAGATTTATCTCACAGCATCTATGTACGTTATTGTTAATGCTTTCGAAATCCTTTTCATGAGTATTATTTCGGCTCTCACAACGCAAAAACGACCCCGAACAATCATGAAGAAATACGCGTTCATTAATATAAAAAGGACACGATGATTCAATAATGCGGGCAGTACGACTCATGACAACTTTTTGAAATCTCAAACAACGTAGACCCCTATCAGAGCTACAGGGGAGGGGCCCACTAACTGTCCCGTAAATATATGCCCAAATGTTTATGTCGAGGTGCTTTCAAGCGTGACATATTGAAAATGAAAGGTACTAAAGGGAACCACACTGAGCACATACATTATTGCCTAAGACTGCTACTTCGGAAGAAAATGTGCCTTGATAAACGTCGTGCGTAACGTAGCCATAGTTTCAACAAATAGGCTCAATTAGCAGTCGCAAAAATAAAAAAATATTTCTCTAAATGTCGGTTAATCACAACTGCATATATCAAAATAACTTATTACTTCATGTCGCGAATTTTTGGAGGCCATTTTTTATAACGACTCATGCATGAGTAGACACGTTGAATTAGACTCGATGTATACCAACCTCAAGGAAGCCTAGAAAAGGCGTCAATCGACACGCCGTACTATTGACCAACGATGACAAAGCATCATCGATTTGTTTTCGGTATTTTTAAAATGCGCACGGTTCTATACATATTTCCCACACGTCCGACGACGACTTGTTATGCCAGAGTCGACAATGTACGATAAACTTTGTTTACCTTTTCGTAAGAACTTCTTATACCATATTTTTATATTATACAGCTACTGCGCTGTCCAACTACACAAAATGCTTTCTCACTCCATGGGTCTTTGTAAACATCAACTACTGGAAATAGTGAAAATATGTTTTCTGTGTTTCAAAGGTTGTTAAATAAACATAAAAGATAAACTCTTCATCAACCCAGTGATCATGATGTCTTTGAGCCTAGTAATGCTCAAGTTCCCTTCAAATCAGGCACGGCTAAAACATACAACCGAGAATAGTAGCTGGCAAAGTGTGCACCAACACTTGGTGGGACACTGATATATTTTCAGATAATAGCAGTTATATAGGTAAGTTATGCGCGATGTTATTAATAAATAACCCGCGAAATAGCGTGCGCACTATGATGCTGAATGTTGAAAGCAGGACAGGGTATATTTTTTTCTAATGTTTTACAGACCCAGTTGTATTTCAACGGACTATATGAATAGCATACACTGATTTTCTTTCTAAAACAAATATAAATGCTCAATATTTTCAATCCTGAGCTTGAAACACAGGAAAAGTCTATTCTCAAAACATTCAATAGGAAGGGAACTTCCGTGTAACTTCAAGAGTTAAATAAAGAGTTTATTACTTGTATGGTTGCGAACGCAGATTCCGAGGAGCACATTCATTTTAAACAAACTTTCTTAAAGAAAAGTATATGGCGAAAGATTTCCCAACCTTAACTCATACGCAAACGTTATTCATACATGTACGCCCGAAGGGGAAGTAGACGGCAACCTTCCGTTCCTCGATGTCCTTCTACAGCGTGGAGTCGATGGAAAATATTTCGCGCGCCTGTCTACTGTAAAGAAACCTACCTGCAGTCATCCTTAAATATGAGGGCAATCATCCCATCTCTTATAAAAGGGGTGCAGCCAAAGGTATATTTACTCGAGGAAGAACGCACTGCCCGGACAACGAAGGCTTTCAGGTCGAACTAAACTACTTATTCGAATTATTTTATCAAAACGGTTACCGCAAGAATTTGCGCGTCGAAGCTTGAGACAACAGTAGTCGAACAACAGTAGTCAAAGAGAAAGGACTAACGCAGTAGCAACCAGATGCCCAAACCATACACTTGGCGAAGCCTTCCTTAGATCAAGAATGCGCCTGAAATCGTTGAGTGGCATAACATTCGAATGGCTCATAAGCCACCGACGACTTTACGCAGCCAACTGGTACACCCCAAGGATGAGGTCAAGCAGTTGGACAAGACAGAAAATATC